TCTATTGGACGCCATTTTAAAAGATGGACAGCTGAACTTGAGCTGCCCCCCCCCCCCCCCCCCCCCCTTGCTGTTTGACAGTGTCCGTGTTTGTATGTGACATACACCTTACAGTCTTCGATGGTTTGATACCCCCGATTTACTTTGAAATACCATGAAACGGACAGCCACCACCAGGAGGGAGCAGGACAACTCGGCGTGGGGATTTTATGCTTTCATAGGTACAATTATGTGGATTTATAAAGAAATAAAAAGGTATTTTTCTTGGAAAAACTCGCGTTTTTATTCCGACGTGCGCTCTGTTTCTGTTTCCTGTTTCCATTGTTTGATGGATTCTGAACCAAAAAGGGGTTGAGTTAAAAAAAGGAAGCTTTTGTTTGTGTTTTTGTGCGTTCTTTTTGTGTGTTTGTGTTCTTTTGTCAACATTTGTTTCTGCAGCACCACAATTACTATGAATTTAGTTCCTGAAATTAGATAATAATGAAGGTTGATGCGATGTCGAACAGATTGTGGCTGTGATTCGCTGTGTTTCAGGAGCTGCCTCAGCTGTGACCTTTGATCCCTAGGAGCCCAGAGACCCCTTCTGGGAGCAACACAACACACAGTTACAGACACCGAGGACACAAAAAGACACACAACCACCACAGAGAGACACAAAAAAAGCCCACAAAGGGACACAAAAACACCACAAAGAGACACAAAACAACCACAAAGTGGCAGAAAACAACCACAAACTAACAAATAACAGCTATAAAGAGACGCAAAACAACCACAAAGTGGCAGAAAACAACCACAAAGTGACAAATAACAGCCATACAGAGACACATAACAACCATAAAGAGACACAAAAAAACCACAAAGTGGCAAAAAACAACCACCAAGAGATACAAAACTAGAAAAAAATACATTAAATTAAAATACACTAAAGAAATAAGAAGGATAAAATGGCCAAACATTGATAAAATACACAAATTTAGAATAAAAACATTTAAAACAAAACACCAGAAATAGACAAAAACAACAAAACAATTGATAAACTTGCTTTCAGAAAACCAAATATCTTGTTATTTTCTCACCTAATTTGTGTGTAAAGTTAATAATTTTTCTGTGTGTAAACAGTAAAAAAAAAGGAAAGTGAATCATTCAGACCTTTATTTATCATCATACAAAATCTATTTTTTTCTGCCTGTTGAACCACATGGAGACACTTAGAAACCCCACAAAAGGCTCCTAAATGCAAACAAACACACAAACTCACGGGAGGTTTCCTCTCTTTGAGTTTGTGTTGGCGTCCATTAAACGGTGTCCGGAGCTCCGGCGGGCCTGGAACAACAAACGGCCTTCTCAGCACCCACAATGCACCCTGCTCCTGCAGGTGCATTGTGGGTAATACCTTCAGGTAGGAGCCGAGGACGAGGCCGGGCAGAGCCAGGCCCACCAGGACCAGCCGGAGGATCAGGTCCCACAGTGGAGCTGGGAGAAAGGAAGAGGCCAAAGGCCAGTTTATTTCTTTATTCTCCATGTTTTTGCTGGAGCAAAAGCCATTTAAACATAACACATAGCCAAAGGGGTGAGCCTTTGATGGGCATCAGTATATAGATATATGCATATATGTATATCTATATATATATATTTATGTATATATATTTATTTATTCTTCTCACACTATCATTATCACTTATTTTAGATCTCATACATACATAAAGATATCTTTAGATACAACATCATATATATATATATGTGATGTTGTATCTAAAGATATCTTTAGATCTTTTAGAAATCTAAAGAAGTCTATTAATGAGTCTGTTAGTTTATTTATATTATTTCTGGTCTTTTAATACACTAGTTGTGTTTTTCTACAGATGTGTTTGTTTAGAAATTTTATTTTTGTATTTCATTGATTTGTGTTTTAATGAGTTTACTGATTTATTTTTTATTTTATGTGTTGAAAATTTTGTTGTTTTTAAATTGATTAATTTATTAATTTATTATTTACAAAGATGTGTGTAATTTGATACTTTTAATTTGTTTGAATGAATTATTTGATTGATCTTTACTTTTTCTTTAAAATTGTCTACACTTATTTGGGTAAAGGTGTAACATGAACAATGTGTGGTGAACATTTGGTCAATTTTCATTGGTTTTACACTAAAAATGATTTTAAAAGGAAGAATAAAAGAAAAGAAAAATCTAGTTTAAATCCGAAGTGCGATAAGAAAAAGATAATATATATTTAGTTCTATATTGACTTAATCAAAAAAATTAAAACAAAAAAATTAAATGAACTACTTACAAATATTTTCTGGTATTTTTATGAATAAATAAAATAATATTAAAGTAAAAGAAAATAAGACTGAAGAAAATTGCAGGAGCAGACAGAGTCGATGTCACAATAATACGTTTTCCATCTTTTTTTTAGTTTATTCCCATGTTTTCTTTCTTTTAAAAGCCTCCCCAAGGTCCGTTTCAAACTACAGCTCATCTAGAACCGGCTCACCTCCGACGGAGACACTTAGCGGCTTGCTGGTGGCTGAGAAGTTGTGTTCGGACAAGTGTAGGTGGAGAATACAGGTGTAGCTGCCCTGGTGGGAGCGGTCGGCGGGGGGGAAGGGGAAGATGGCCGAGTGGTTTTCGGCCAATCGGCTGTAGCCCTGAACCCCCTCCCGGGAGAGCAGGAAGAGCCCGCCGGGGTACTGGGGGGGGGCGGAGCACCGGATACTGAACGCAGAGCCCAAAAGCACCTGGGCCCCCGGGGGCCCCTGCTCACTGGCCCCGGAGACCCCGTCCAGGAGGGTGATGGTGGGCGGAGTCAGCAGATCTGCAGCAGAAAGTGGAAAAAATGGCTCCAAATGGGATGTTAGATATATTTTAAACATGAAAACATGTTAAATAATTCCAAATGGTCAGTCTGTTTACTTTGATAGCTTTTCTCTCTGGTTTAGCTGCTTCCATTGGTGTATTTTTATAGAAAAGTGTTCAACCAATCAGATTGAAGCTACTTTTTGTTGCCAGGGTCAAATAAATCTGCCTGGAATCCTTCGCAATAACTGTAGCATAAATATGTATCAAATAAACTGCCCAACCAATCAGATTTCAGCTATTATTCTATAAATCTTCCTGGAATCCTTCACAATAACTGTAGCATAAATGTATACCAATTAAACCATCCAACCAATGAGATTTCAGCATTTTTTTTGTTGCCAGGGTTGAACAAATCTGCCTGGAAGCCCTTACAATAACTATAATATAAATATGTATCGATTAAACTGTCAAACCAATCAGATTTCAGCTATTATTCTATAAATCTGCCTGGAAGCCTTAACAATATCTGTATCATAAATATGTATCAATTAAACTGTCCAACCAATCAGATTTCAGATATAATTTTTTGCTAGGGTCAGATAAATCTGCCTGGAAGCCTTCACAATAACTGTAGCATAAATGTATACCAATTAAACCATCCAACCAATGAGATTTCTGCTATTATTGGTTGCTAGGGTCAGAAATATCTGCCTGGAAGCCTTCACAATAACTATAGCAAAAATATGTATCAATTAAACTGTCCAACCAATCAGATTTCAGCTATTATTGGTTGCTAGGGTCAAATAAGCCTTAACAAGCCAAATCTGGAAGCCTTAACAATAACTGTAGCATAAATATGTATCAATTAAACTGTCCAACCAATCAGATTTCAGCTATTTTTTGTTGCCAGGGCAGATAGATCTGCCTGGAAGCCTTCACAATAACTGTAACTGTAGCATAAATATGTATGAACCAATCAGATTTTGAGCTGGCATCAGCAGGGCCCTTTGGCGGGTGACATCATCGGATCCCCAGCTTCTGATTGGACAAACAGAGGGCATCTGTGGGGATGTGTCTACCTGAGCAGGTGACCTCCAGGCTGTACTCGCTCTCGTCGTTATCGGTGACGGTCAGGCACTCCCTCAGGCCGGCGTCCGGCCGCACGCACCCCCCCTTCACCCACCACACCGGCCTCACGTCGGCGTCGTCCGTCACGACCGTTACCACGGCAACGCCGCAGCCCAGCCTCCCGCACACGGTGGCGGTCCAGCTCTGGTCCCACACAAAGTCCAGGTCGGCCACCGGCCGCCACTGTCCCCGGTTCTCCATCTCCAACACGCCCTGGCAGCGGCTGGTCCCGCCCCCCAGCCGGAGACCATCTGATTGGAGCAGAGACAGGAAGTCAGTGAGATCCAGAAACACTGCCCATATATGGTCATTTCCTGTAACAAAGCTGAGGAAAAGTCCATTTTTTTCCTAAAATGATGCGAAGATTTAGGGTTTTACAGCTTCAAATTCCATAGATAGATGGATGGATGGATGGATATAGATAAATATATAGATAGATGGATAGGTTTTTTTGTGGTTATCTTTTAATTGACAGAAATAGAGCCAAAGTTTAGAGCATCCCTTGATTTTCAGCTTTCTGTGGTGATATTTAAACAAGAGAGATTTCACAAAAACGATGGCCGCCAACTATTTCTGAGAGGATTCAGCTCTTCTTTGATATGCTACATGACCACTTTCCATTGGAAAAAAAACTCACCCAGGATCCAATATGGCGGCTTTCAAGATGGCGGCCATTTTGAAAGACAGGCCCCCTCTGCCTTTAATGTTTGGGTGTTTGAATATGTAATTTTCTCTTTAGTTTCTGACAGAAAACTGTCCTGTGACTTCTATATATATATATGTATTATATATATGTTTTTATATATATATATATATATATATATATATATATGCACAGATGTATCTGAAGTATTTGTAAGAATCCAGGTTGTTGAAATTGAGAAGCTGTCGAATACTTCAATGTTAAAAAGTCATTCATTAATGTGATTTTTCTACAGTTTGAAATGTCTCAATAATAAAAATGGATTTTTGTAAATAACACAAATGACTTTAGGGGTGAAACTGGACTCTGGATCTCTACCTGAGCAGGTGAGTGCTGCAGCCTCTCCCGCCGGGCAGATGCTCCTCTCCAGGGCTGACCTCCTACAATCCCGGAGGCCGGACTCTTGCCCCTCACAGTGGGACTCTGTGGCCCCCATGGGGGCCCCCACCTCCCCATAAGGCGCCCCCTCCAGGGCCAGAGGAGGAGCACAGCCGACCTCCCTGCAGACCACCTCTGCGTCCCGCTGGTCGAAGTCCTTCGCACACACAGAGGACCAGGACTGCTCTGACCTCACCTCCAGCCGGCCTGAGCACCGGTCGGCCCCGTTCACCAGCCTGACCGAGTCTGCAGACACAAAAAAAACACCAAACATGGTTAAAACTGGTCTGATCTGTTTTCAAACTGGTCTGAACTTGTTA